TGTGGCATTAGTGGTTTTCCTTAAATTTGCTTGATTCAAATTTAAAATTTTTAACGGAATAATCGAATAGGGACAACAGGGATCCCAGAACTGAAAAAAATTGCTGATTGAATTTGATTCGGTTTTTGCCCATTTTTTTTTTCATTTATAGCCTCTACCTTCAAGGCCAGCTTGAAAAGCTCACAAAAAAAAGAAAAGACATGTCGCATTTCTTTTGGCGAAGTTTTTTGAAATTGAGATTTTCGTTCCCCATTGGTAAAAAGTGGAGAAATGTCTTACGAAACATCTACTAAATGGGAAAATAAAAACATTTTTTTTTTCCTGTTAAAAAACACCATTTTTGCAATTTCTTTCGACCATGAATAAAACTTTTAAAATTTACCATATTTGACGGCAATAAAAAATTTTTTTTTTTTTGCTATTATAAATGGTAAATAATAAAGATTAGTTTTATAGTCGGTTCAAATATTTTAATAATTTAGTAAATGTTAAGAAATTTATGAAAAAAAATTGTTTACATGTTTCTCAATATCTATAATTCTCAATAAGTGTGCGTATATATGTGTGATCGGATGTTGTTTATACCAAAAAATTCCCCATAATTTTAATACTTCTCGTTTTCACTTATTGAGTGGTCAAATTTTGAAGACAATTTACAAGAAACATTCCATCAATTTTCACTTCCAGCGTCTTATATGCACGTGTTTATCGTTGCTGTGAAATCTATTATATTCATGTTATAATTTTTAAATAAATTTTATATCTGCTTACTCTTTGATTGAGCATATTTTAAGAATATAATTCATAAAAGTTATTGCAATTTATTCCGTATACTAATATAGTTTATATATATATATATATATATATATATATATATATATATATATATATATATATATATATATAAAAAGAAAGAACAGTAAGATATATAATCCGGTGTTCTTATAGATATTTTTATTTTTACAAAATAGTGCTCAATGTAAATTTACAGAGCATTAATATTATAAGGTATTCTAATTACATTTAATTGTTCTTGAAAGAAATATAGTATATTAAAAATTAAAAGTAAAAAATATTTCAAATCGTAGTTAAATAAAAAGTATTCTTACCCCCCACCAAAAAAAAATCTTTAAATATACGGAAGAAAAAAAATGCCGTAAGAATTTTAGCAATTAACAATATAATTTTTTTTTAAAATCCAGACGACACGCTTTTAACGGATGTTAGATTTCATTGAAAAATACATCCCTACCCACTACCAAAATGTAGCAATAACTGTAACATTAAAATATAGACATATATATATAGACAACCCCTGTCTAGCAAAATAGATTTATCTGTAACCTTGGAAACATGAATTTTGTTTTAGCTGTGTATTTAAAACCCAGTAATTTTAAATGTTACTCCAAAATTCGAACTAATGTCTTTAATTTAATTACAAAATTAAATGCGGGGCTTTTAGCTTCCATTTTTGAAACATGGTTAGAACTGTGTAGCGAAAAAAAAATTTTAGGATCTGTATCCATTTTGTCTCAAATATGGACTAAAATTGTCAAGAGGAGCAGTACATGCTCCAGATATCTGCCTTTCAGTTGCACATTCTTCGTGGGTGATCGCTTGAATCTTCTCAGTGATAGCTGCCTTCAATACGGCAATTGTGCAAGGATTGCCCTGGTAGATGTTGACGCTGAGGAACCCCAGAGGAAGAAATTTTGGGGGTTCAAGTCAGAAGAGTTAATGAAAGAAAATGTTTTTTTTAAAGCTGATGAGACGCTCAAAAAAATTTTCGACGAAAATAAATGATAACGTTAGCAATGTGAGGAGGAACATCATCTTGCTGGAACCACTGTCCACTCCCCATCAACGTTCTCACAATCCTTGAACCCCCCCCCCCCTCATCTGAAGGGCCGCTGTTTTGTTTCAACAATTATAGCGGCCCGGACTGAGGAATCGGAGAGCCGAGTTCGAATTCCAGTCGAATCGATTACATTCACTTACATGCTAATACCCTTAGGTAATGTATGTGTTGTGGATTCCGGGAATGGAATCCTGCACAAATAAATAAACAACGCCAGTAATGGAGATAGAAAAATAAGTATATTAAACGTAAGAATACAGACTTGAAGTGAAGATTAGTAGTCCAGGAATGCGGATTAGTAGAAAGTATATGTACAAGTCTCTGTAAGTAAAGCCGTAATCTCTCTCTCTCTCTCTCTCTCTCTCTCTCTCTCTCTCTCTCTCTCTGGACTCTTGTATAACTCTCTGAGAACACCCTGTGTCTGTCTCCGTATCTCTCAACCTGTCTCCACGTATCTCCACGTATCTCAACGTATCTCCACGTATCCCAACCGCAGGTATTTCTCTGTCAGTATAAGTGTACTTTGGACGAGACCATCTTAAAAAAAAAAGATTTATACAACAGTATGAATCCTCTTCTTTCCCCCACCCCCAGCTATGGGTAAATAGCAGAACAGACCGGGTTCTATAGCCTTGGATGGCAAACTGATCTACCGCAGAAAGAAATGGCAACCTGTTGCGGGAAAAATCTGCCTCGTTAGTCATATATCGATAGATACATAAACGCCAAAATAGATAGTGTATCACGCATGGCACATAATTGACTGATTGATTAATCCTTTTCTTCTGTTCTCTACCGTGTCCCTACAGACGTTGAGGATCATGACTCTCCACAACATCCCTTACGGAAAACATTAAGTATAGTAGAAAAACTCGTTAAAAAAATGATGGTTTATTACCCTCATTACATTTGCTACAATCTTCTCTCTGTTGTGACTCTTCAGAAAGCTGAGGATCATGGCTCTCCACAACATCCTATCCTTTGTAGATCTTACCAATGCTCTTTTGATAGCCTTCTATAGCCTTGGATGGCAAATGGTCTACCGCAGAAAGAAATGGCAACCTACTGCAGGAAAAAATCTGCCTCGTCAGTCATATATCGATAGATACATGAAATAAGCGTGTATCACGCATTGACACGTAACTGAAGTGACTGACTATTCCTCCTCTTCTGCTCTCAAATTTGTGTCCCTTCAGATATTATAAATCATGGCTTATAAAACATAAATGAATCCTTTGTAGATCTTAGCAATGCCCTTCCTAAAGTTCCTTACGTGCTAATACTCTTGAGAAAAGGTATGAATTGAATCTCTTTCTCCATTCTCCAGCTATGGGTAAATATACCCAAGCTGGGTTTAGTTGAAAGAAGGGATTGGTTCTATAGCTTTGGATGGCAACTGGACATCGTGAATTGAAAAAAATGTTTCCAAAACCGCCAAAAAAAATCTGCCTCGTCAGTCATGTATCGAAAGATTGATGATTGCCCTAATTCGTGTAACGCATGGCAAATTTGGCTCAATGAGTTGATAATATTTTCAGTCGAATCCATTAAATTACGTAAAATATATTTGAAAAGGTATGAATTTATCTTATATACCCATTATGGGTAAATATAAAAAACAGACCGGGTTATAGATATGGATGGCAAATATTACCACAGAAAGAAATGGCAGCCTACCGCGGAAAAAAAATCTGCATCAGTCATGTATCGAAAGATACATGATCGCCTAAGCGTGTATCGCGCATGGCAACTAACTGGCTGAATTGTATTAGCGTTTAGAATTTAGAAATATAAAGTTATTCTTGTAAATAATAAATTTCACAGTTATTATTTAAACTATTTATATTCGGACTATTGTCTCTTTTTTGCTGTCATCACGTTTCGGCCGTTGGACCCTCTGGTCATCATCAGGTGTATATCGATCTCGGTAACCCTACAGGGAATTCTGAACTGAACCCTTTATTCAATCTTCGGGTGTAGACTGTTCTTGTTCCATTACACATGTCTAGGGATATCTCTTTCTTTATTCCGTACAGTTCAGTTATTGCTCGCTCGTTACCACTGCCTGGACCGCCAGAATCAACGCATATGCTTTTAGTTCTGTTTTCATTCATTCATTCATTTTTGACGGCTTATCAACCCTTTACCAGAAAATATTTTTACATTGTGAGAATTTCTTTTTTAGATAATAATGTTTTAGCAATTAATCTATGACTCGGCGGAGGAGAAATGGATTCGTACCTAATCAGAATTTGATAAACAAACAAGAAATTATAATGTGGATATAAAATGGGGGATCAATTCTTTGTTAAAATCAATATGTAAATCGGTCCCTCGCTTAGTGGCCACGTTAGATTTTATACGTTTGTATCCCAGGGAATTTAAATAAATCTAAAAGACATATCTGTGTGGCTAATCAGTATTTCATTGATTGATTTGTCTTTTACGGTTTATCAACCCTCTGCACGTTATTTAAAGCCAGAAAATATTTCTAGATTGTAAGAACTTTTTTTTACAGGTCTAATAAAACTTGTATCACTAAATGATTACCATCTCGAAATCCATCGTCTATTAACCCATTGCTGGAAAACGAGGATGGATTCATACATTTAATCAATGGGTATTTGCATAATCAAGGGCGAATATAACGAACCCAGGAGAAATAATTAAATGAGCCATTATCATTTAAAATTTTGCAATATATATTCCGGGTTTACAGCAAATGGCATTACCAATTGGAACTCAAAAAAATTTATTTGACCAGGCTGTTGATTGTAAATATTTTCTTCGGTAATCATTTGAGACAGGTGTTTCGACATTTTGTTGTGTTAAGAGCAAAACCAATTGCACATCCAAGCTTATGTTCATTGGTATTCCCATTTTGGTTACCCATCTAGTTTTTGACCAGGCTCGACGTTTCTTTTATATATATATATATATATTATTTATATAACCGTTGATTTCAACATCATGTTGCCATTATTAAAATTTTGAAATATCATCAATCTGGTTGCAAAAAAAAAAAATTACCCATCTAGAATATGACCAGGCTCGACGTTGCTTATATTTGGTGATCGTAGAGGAAACCGTTACATTCGACGTTATGTTACCGTAAGCCATAATACAACAAACAAATCCAAGTTTACAGCACCTGGTATTCCCAAGCGGTTACCCATCTAGTTACTGACCAGGCTCGACGTTGCTTAACTTCGGTGATCGTAGAGGAACCACTGTCAGCCTTTTAATTCTGTGTTGTCTCTTTTTCATTGGTCAGGCAGACCTCACGTGTCTTTGTCATGTATTTTGTAATGCGCGTGCGCGACTGTGTGCAATTGAATTCTGTTCTGCTTGTCTGGCTTCTCCGTGTATATAATCCCCAAAGATGGTAGTTATTTGGGTAGCAGGTACATAATGGGGGGACACTAACCTTACATCCTAATGTTTCTTGCAACTTATTTAGAAAATCAGCAAAAAAATAAATAAATAAATAAATAAAACTATTCATTTCGAAAATTAATTAAAAAAATCTTAAAATACAAATTGTTTTCTTAAAAAAAATATAAGACATCGCATAATTCTGACTTTTTTTCTTTTTTGATTTAGGATAAGAAACATGAGAGAAAAAAAAAGTTCATTTCGACAATCCAATCACCTGAAGAAAGCCGGAGCGTACAACGGCCGAAACGTTGCAATAAGTATAGCGACAAAGATGAGGACAATAGTCCGAATAATGTAAATAGTGTACATAATACCTCATCTCAGAAATATAGACAGATACTGAAGGGAAAAAACATTGTAATAAATATGGCAACATTGATGAGGACAATAGTCCGAATAATATAAATAGTGTACATAATACCTCATCCCAGAAATATACACAGATACTGAAAATCCGAAACATTGTAATAAATATATATAAACAAAGATGAGGACAATAGTCGAATATTTAAATAGTGTAGGATAATACCTCATCTCAGAAATATAGACAGATATTGAAAAGGGCCGAAACATTTTAAGAAATATCTTTAACAGTTTATGGGGACAATAGTCCGAATAATGTATCGTTGTACATAATACCTCTTTTTCAAAAATATAGACAAAACTGAAGGGAAGAAACATTATAATAAATATGGCAACAATTATGAGGACAATAGGTCTATCCGAAATGTAAATATTATGTTCTTTATTACCTCATCTCTCAAAATATAAGTTCTTTGATTTCCGAAACAATTGTAATAAATATGGAACAAAAGATGAGGACAATAGTCCGAATAATGTAAATAGTGTACATAATACCTCATCCCAGAAATATACACAGATACTGAAAGGCCGAAAAAATTAATTAATAAATATACAACAAAGATGAGGACAATAGTCGAATAATGTAAATAGTGTACATTTTAATTTCATCTCAGAAATATAGACAGATATTGAAGGGCCGAAACATTTAAATTTAAATATTTCAACAAAGATTCAGGAAAATAAATCCGAATAATGTAGAAATCAATGTACAATGCAAATACCTTTGGATATTTTATAGACAAAATCAAATGAAGGGCAGAAACATTGTAATAAATATGGCAACAAAGATGAGGACAATATTCCGAATAATGTAAATATATTATATTATATCCAAGATAAAATTACATACAGAAAATAAATTTATTGCAATATTATTAGGAAGTAGGAATTTCTTTCATTTTTTAAAATAAATTTCATATATTTTAATAAAATGTTCCTGTTTTTTTTTTAAAAAAGAAAGTTTAAAAAGAATCATTTTTGCAGAAAAAAACGAACATTTGTTATTTATTACAGTTCCACATTAATATTGTCTTTTACAAACACACACACACATACACAAACACACTTCAACATACACAAACATTATATATATATATATATATATATATATATATATATATATATATATATATATACCATTGGATTAAATGAAGTTTTAATTTTCAGCAAATAGCTTGAAAACCCATTTCAAATATTTGCAACAATAAAGATTCAACCAAATAAATTAGGACTATCATTTATATTGCGCTTTGAGATTTAAAATGAATTTAAAACCATATATAATATATAAATAATATATATATATATATATATATATATATATATATATATATATATATATAAATTATATATATATATATATATATGAACATATATATATATATATATATATATATATATATATATATATATATTTATATATACATTTATAGTTATATATGAACATATTTTTACGTATATATATATATATTTCAGTTTATTTATATATATATATATATATATATATATATATATATATATATTATAATGTTTATCATTTTAAAGACAAAATCGTATTTTATAGAACCAAAAATTTAAAATATTTATGTTGAAACTACGAACCACGTTGTCTCGTTTATATAGAGCTTTCAAATGAAGAAGGGTCCAACATTTATAAATGCATTTCAGACACACACACACACACACACACAAAATTTCTTGACACATATATATATATATATATATATATATATATATATATATATATATATATATATATATATATATATGATTTGTTTATTTGGGTATTTTTATCTAGTTGCAACTAAATTTTTGAAATAAAAACTAGAAAAATAGACTGTCCCAAACAACGGTGACATTTTTCATGTAAGAATTAAGCTCTCTGTTTGAAATGTAATAAAATGTTACAACTAAGAACTAAGTTTTTTTAAATGACTCTTTTACACAAACGATGACACACCTGCCTAAATTTACGTTATATTTGTTACCAAGGGCTTTCAAGACTTAATAACATCTTGATTTTTTAACTTTAATTCACGATACCATAGTATGACAGGATGCGACGGATAAATTGTCGTCTAAATGCTGCAAAAATTGAAAATAGCACATTTTAACAGATATATTTACCAAAATTACACAAAAAAAAATAAATACTAAGAATAAATTTATTCAATAAAATCGCCATTGGCTTCAAACCACGACTTCTGGAATCTCCTGCAGATCTTCTGGACGGTCTCCTTGTTTAAGTTGGTGAATGCTGCCATAATCCTTGCCTTCAGTTCATCTTTGGTGTTACAAGGAGTTTTGTTGGTCTCTTGCTCAACGTCAACACCTCACATATAATAATCAAGGGGGGTTGCAGTCTGGGGAGTTAGGTGGCCTGTTGTAAGGTGTGATGTGGTTGCAGAAATTGTCTCACACCATGACTGGGTTCTCTTGCTTATGTGGTATGGTGCAGTGTCCTGTTGCCAGACATAGGGTCTTCCATCAGCCACCCTCTTGACCCAGGGCAGCACTACCTCCTCAAGGCACTTGATGTAGGCCTCCATGTTGAGTCTGAGGCCCTGTGGCAAAAGAGGAGTTCCTTTCTTATCAGAACGATCAGAGTGAGTTTTCTGAACTGCCGTATCTTCGTAATCACCATTAGACTCATCCAACTCTTTCCGAGTCCTCTGCACTGTCTGCAGATTGACACCCAATCACTCTGAAATGTTCGTGTTGGAGCTTCCGGTGCGAATGCCAAGCAGTACAACATGTCGGGTCCAAATTTCTGGCAGAGTGAATTGCGTCATGGTGCACTTTTTCCCCCACTGTCCGTACTATACTCTGCAGCCGACAAAATTGAAAGCAAACAACGCGCATGCCCGAAATTAAAAATATAAAATGACGACAATTTACACATCGCATCCTGTATGTAGATTAGATGTCGGAAATTTTGAGCTTCGCACTAACATGTGTTTTCTAATATATTCTCCATCAGTCTTGCAGGCTATAGCGCTTTGATGTCTTATAAAGAATTTGAACTGCTTGAACGTTGTATCGTCTGCTTTTTCTGAAAGTTTTTTGGTACATTTCGATTCGTGGGAAAATAGCTGCGTTTGTTTTTCATTCGGAATCAATCGAAAGTTTTCCCTTCAAATTCCGAGAAGTGAATCCGGCTTGAAGTAACAGAGATGTGGTTAAGGGTGCTGAGAATACCATGAAAAGAACATGTGAACAATAAGGAAGTTCTTAGGAAAATGGGAACGAAAATGGCACTTGTAGTTAGGAAGAGAAAGAGACAGTTGAAATTTCTGGGGCGCAGAAAGTGAGAAAGGCGGGCATGGAGAATCTGAAACTCACAGGACAAATATCTAAGGCAAGAGATGTGCTGCTTTCGCTGGTTCCCAGACTTCACGAATTTAAGCGTTCAACTAGGCTGGCATCTCGCTCGCACTCTTTAACTTGTCGAAACTGTTAAATGTAGCCGTCTCTTCTACTCCAGTAGCTCTATGTCTCGCACCTCTCGCCTGTGGAACTCCCTCCCCTTTTCCCTGATACGTATAATCTCCAACTATTCAAATGTAATTTCAATCGACGTCTCCAGATGCCTTGATCTATCCCCTATCCTTACCTTCATCCTATCCTCAATCAGTCCTCTTTGCTCTCGTTCCAACTCTCTGTAACCTTGCGTGCTAGTGGCTTTCTGCCTTGAACAAAATTGAAATAAAATATATATATATATATATATATATATATATATATATATATATATATGAAAGAGTTTCATTTTGTTGTTTGATTGGTTCATTTTATTTTTGGCACATCGACATCTCCAGGGGTTATTTAATGTCGAAATATTTTGTACATATTTTTATGCTTTCAACTACCAGATAATTAGTACATCATTTTAAGTTTTTTCAAATTTGTATAGATCTAATATATATATATTTATATATATATATATATATATATATATATATATATATATAGTTTTAGATCAAAAAAAGTTTGTTAGTAATTTTACTAAAAAAATGTGCTTTTAAATATTTCAAAGAAACATTGATTATCATTTTTAAATCCTTTTTGTCTCTTCTACTAAAAACTGTTTCATATCTTTTTGTTTCTCGCATATGGAACTCCCTCCCCATTTCTTGTTTTCCTGATAGCTCTAATCTCCAACTATTTAAATGTAATGTCAATCGACGTCTCCAGATGCCCTGATATATCCCTATCCTTTTCTTCATTTTTTTCGTCTATCAATCCTCTTTGATCTCGCTATCCAAAATCTTCCGTAACCCCTTATTTTGCTAGTGGCTTCCCGCCTTGCTTGGGATTAAAAAAAAAAAAAAAAAAAAAAAAAAAAACAACGATAGAAAGAAACAGTGTGTAGCCTACCAAACAATCTTGTATAAATGAATGGCTGGACGTAGACAAGAAGGGTGTCAAA